TTCAAAGTTCTTATAGCTGCTGCAATCAGCTTTCGTTCTGATTATGTTATGTTAGATGCAGCAAGGTTTGCAGTTTGTACCACCTTCGAAATAGTAGGCTATTTTCTTACGTGACAACAATACTACTGGGTACACAGCAGAAGTATTTAAAACGCTAAACAAATCTAAATTTTTAGAGCTTTCTCTGGCCAAGAGTGATTCTGTAACAGAAAGGAAAAAAAAGAAGAGTCTTCCCAAGATTCCCTGGTACCGAAGACTGCAAAACAAGTCTTTTACATTGTTTGTTTTTCAGCTATTCCAGTCAAAGCAGACCCTAGCAATATTTACGTATGCCACGTGCATCTCCTGCGCCTGCTCGCAGCCGCAGCATCTGCTTCATGCGTAATTCATGAAGATGAAGCTGTTTGTTCTTCTACCAGATTCACAATCTGGATAGAGACAAATTCAAAAAAAAAATATACATAAATGGGTGGTTTGTGCTGCGGATTCAGTAGGAAGCACCAAAGAATAAATGCACTAGCTTAGTATTTAGTCAAAGCTGATGTCATTCGAAAGCAGATAGAGCACCACATCTTCGGTACGTATACAGCAACACTGTTTATCCAGTTATACGCGTTTACAAAGGTCAAACATTGCTGGAATCTGCTGCGCTCACTCAATAGGAGAAAACTACACCCGGACTCAGTTCACCGGCTCAGTTTACCGGCATCAGTTACCGGCTCTTTCGGCTATCCCAGCAGCAACTGCTTTCCCAGAAAAACCACTTTACGATCTAGTATATCGCCTGCAACTTACACCGGAAACATTTTCTAAATAATATTTGCCTAACCAGCAATACGAAACATCAGATGGCCGCGATCCGGAAAGATCACAGTACTCATTTCTCACCGATATTTCTAACCAGTCATATTTTGAAAGATGGAGAATCTTAGTCTGGAACCTTCCATCAGACTTGTTCTAAGCTGGGTGTTGGCTCAGTTCGGCTTTTTTGGTAACCGCGGTAGAAACCCTCTGCAAATTACCTACCTTTACTAAACAGTAGTACGAACAGGAGCATGCCGGAATCGAGCATTGACAAGCGATGCAAACGAGCGCGGTATGAACCTGCAATACTACGCAGTCGAGGGGGAAAGTGGTATATCCAACGATATGCACGAACGTTAACGCATCGACGTAGTGTAGCTTTACGTTAATAGTTGTTTTACTGCCTGGAATACAAATGAATATAGTGCTGTAGTATAAGAGTATGAAAGCGGTTTAATCCGGATTAGTTAAAGTGACCGACACTCTCTTGCAATACGCATCAACCCATGGTTGGCACAGTGGGCTGAAGAGCGTCGTTCCCCGAAGTAGAGTTTTTGTGTAACCTTCATGAGCTCGTCACAGCTGCAGCTGGGTTCCCCGTCCAAGGAATATGCCACGTTCCTCATGATGCCGCCAACGTCGCCAAAAGTACAGCGTTACCAGTCGACATCGCTGCTGTCGAGACTTTTCTTCTCGTACGCAGACGACACGATGCAAATTGGTAATACGCGGCAACTGGATCAGGACGACCTGCTGGAGCTAGTTGACGACAGTCGCTCGGGAGTCGCTTACACCAGCACTACCACCACCAAAATCAGTCGATCGTCCGAGCTATCATACACGGATACAGGTGGAAATTCCTACTCTGTGGGCTGGTATCTTCGTTCACGACGGCCTGCATT